TGAATTTCAGGGGGCAGAAGCTCAGAGAAGGCTTCCAAGAACAAGAGTAACTTGGGTCCATTCCCACCATCTCCCCTAGGATAGAGAGCTAACAGCAAGGCCACTGACCCCCTCACCCTCCTGGGGTGTCTAAGGGCACTGCTACCTATACTCTGGGAGTTCCTAGAATCTCATTCCTCTTAAGGAGACTCACACCTCACATCTGGTCAATGCAGCCTGAGCACAGCATCTCATTCACATAGTTGTTAGAATATGCTCTGTGACTTGGACTCTGTTCTGAAGGTATTGTATGGTCTCAGTAAAGAATACTGTCACCATCAGCCACACACCTGGAGGCTGATTTTGTCTCCCATTATCCCCCACACATCTATAGTCAATACTTCTACAAAACCTATAGCGAGCACCATATTCAAGATCACTCAGCCAGCTGCTCTCACCTTGCACTACAAGTCAGTAGCTTCCTCACCCCAGCCTGGGAAATATGCTAAAATACAAGGGAGATCAAAGGGTCTCCAAGGTAGACCTTTGAATGAGAGGCCCCAGCAGGGCCGATTATCAGCAGGAGGCCTAGGCAAATACCACTGGAAACTAACTTTATTAGCTTACAGAATAAAAAAACTTAATGTGAGGTTTTATCGGTGTCTAAAGATGAGGATGACCAACCATCTAACTATGCAGGGGTGTCTGTGGGTTACAAGCTGTAAGCTCTGCATAGAACACAGGGAAAGGAAGAGATGGAGACATCCTTTGGCCTCCTCATCCCACCTGTAAAGTCTGAAATACAAAGCCACATAGAAGGGGAGTGGAAATAGCAGCTGTTCTGTTTCTAGTGGAAGGAATAACATCTCCATACTTGGCATGCTAGCAGATATGACATTCCCCCCATTGGGCATGGTTTCTGCAAAGTGCACAGCTCCAGTGAGATATCAACAAGAGTCAGGGTACACAGTGAAGTCCCAGGGATGGTCCCTGGATTGCAGCCAGCCTTATTCTCCAGGCCCAGCTCAGCAGTCAACAGTGATAGCCCAGATCAAGGTAAAGATCCTCTTTACATCAGGCCAAACCAGATGTTCTCATGTCCCCAGTGGTCTGCACATGAGTGTAGAAAGCAGGCCTTCCAGGCCAAACCCTCCACCCCCGATTTCAGCAAGATTCAAACAGCAGCCCCATGAACAGGAAACACCCCATCCTTTGCCCTCATGAACAAATCACATTCTCCTGAGTGTCCAGGATGCCAAAGAGCCGAATACAGAAGCAAAGAAGTTACGTTGGGATTATGTCCTCTTCATTTATTTAATTTCATATTTATTCATGAGGCTGGGGAAGGGGGAAAAAAGTATGCAGTGAAACCACAGACAAGCCATATATGCACGAGAAGTATTTGGCAGTGGTAACTACCGGGCCACAACTCTGTCCGGAAGTCTCTCTAGAAGGGTTCTGGACAGGCTCAGCAGATGCCCTGGATTCTTTGTTTCAATCACAGAAACGTCACGACAGTCCCTTTCTTTCCAATCTGCCAGGGCTCCAATGGGAAGAAGCGGATAATTATCCTTTAGGGAGCAAAAAAAAGAGATGTCAGCTCCTTGGCAAACTCCTCATCTGCCAAGGTCCCTTAGACACGCCCAGGTAAGATGTCAGGCCAGCCCATATCAGCCCGCAGGGTATTTTAGCAGTCTGTCCACCCCAATTAATGATCCTTGCACCAACACAGTCAGGTGCAAGATGATGGCTATGCATGGGCCCAGGACAGACATAACACAATAGTACGCATACATTAAGTATTCTGTGCACACTTGCATATATATGTCAGGCTGGATATAGTCCTTCTATTTCTAACTGCAGGCTCCTGTGGGCACGCCCAGTGCTCAGGCCATTTAGTTTTTAATCAAAGCCCAGCTCAAAGCCAGGCAAAGGTCAACCCTGATTCAAACCTGTGGAATAAATGATTCATCAATCACAGAGATTAAAAAGAAGTGCCTAGTGACAGTCTGGCACGGGGTGTGGCAGGGTGTGTGTGCGCAGGGCTGAAGACTTAGGTTCCCATCTGTAAAGTAGGTCTAATACAGTTTATCTAACTCAAGAAGACACCAAATCTGCACACGAAGACCCTGGAAAGCTCTTGCAAGGATCAAATGGAATAATGGGTGTAGAGATCCTGACCCATGCTGAGCATGGGAATGGTACTGTCAAAAAGTAGTGTGTCTCCTAGACTTCAGGACGGAATTTGAACAGCCACCACAAACAGCCATTACCAACTTTCCTGAGCCAAAAAAGGATTCCATTCTGGAAGGTTCTTTCAAAATTATCCTCTTGGGTCCTCACAGGCATGGAGTAGGCCCGGGAATATGAGACTCTAACCCTGCCTCAGAGTGTAAGGGGTTTTTTTTGGGGGGGAGGGGGGCACCTTCTTGTGAGGGAGGGAGGTCATTTTTGCCTGACCCACTACTTTCATGGAAGAGAAGGTTACATATTGGAAATAGTTTGTGTCCAGGTTTACCTGGGATCTTTCAGCTGTGGTAGCCCTCAAATCAAGGTGTTTAGTTAGCTATCTGGGCCAACGGTCTTTTGGCTACCCTATGACTCTCCCGGAGCCTTATCTAGTCCAAAGGTCTTTGCCTCAGGACATAACCAGATCCCCCCCCCCCCCCCCCCCGCCCCGGAAAAGTTCTCCCTGAAAACCAGACACTCTGGTTCAGAGGCAGAGCAGAGGCCATCATTGCAGTGGTTTTGAGCTAAGCGCATTCTCAGTATACACACACACACACACACACAGAAACACTGGTGGTTTTCCAAGCCATCCTTACTCGGGGCTTACAGGGATGGCTGCAGATCTTCAAAAGAATCAAAATCTTGCCACCATTCTGATCACAGACCCACGGTTCCAGTGCCTAACTGAGCAGATGCATCTCTTTGCACTAGGTCCCGGGGTGCTTTCTAAAATCAGCAAATAATGTATTTTACTCCCAACCTCATACAACGGGCCCTGAGTCAGGATCTCTGCTCTGGAGGCACAGCAGTCCCAAATAAGTTTCCTGACTAGCCTTACATACCTGTCCTGGTCCAGGGCCAGCTCCTTGGTGAGGAACTCGAAGAAGCCGGAACTATGGTTGCGGTTCTGCTCTGCAGTGCCCACCACACCGATGGAAGAGACCAGAAGCTGGACGCAGGGCTCTGTGGATCCGTTCATCAATAAGGTCATGCCAGGCTTTAACGTAACACTCACGCGCTGCAGGAAACACAAAAGTTAAATCCTGAATCTTGGGCAGGCCAGGCTGGCCTCCGGGAGCGGGCGCGCCAAAGTCTTAACGTGGGGGTCTGAGGGATGAGGGTTTGGGGCACTGGCTAGGAACCTTGGAAGTCAGTCACGCCAGGGTCACGCCTGGAAAGGGTGACCAGAAAGGGACCTGGGGAGGGCGGATGGGACACGGAAGGTCAGAAGTCAGCAGGCGGGTGGGGTCTCTGGGGATAATAGTAAGGGTCACGGGGAGGTCTGACCCCGCCAGCCCACAACTTCCGCGCACCCAGGGCTCCCCGACCCTAGCTCACGTCTTCAGGTTTGTCCAGGATGGTGGCGGCGGCCGCACACAGCCGCTTCTCTAGCCCGGCAGGTACGCGGCTAGCGGGCAAGTTCGTTTCCAACTCAATGAATGGCATGTTGGGCGGCGAGAGGGATCGCAAAACAGCAACTGCACGGAGAGCCGCGGGGGTTCTAGCAAGGGGGCGCGGGGCGGGGTATGGGGGGGGCACAGCTAAGCTTCTCATTGGCCAGGCAGCGACGGCGCTCCTGGATTGGCTACCAGGGCTACTCCTCTTCTGCAATCATGCGCGCTGGCTCCAAATTACCGAAGTCCTAGCTTCAGGGCCTCTGGCCCTTCCAGTCAGCAGGGGGCGCTGTTTCAACCTCAGCGTCCGAGCTCTACGTTTCTATAGAGCACTTCACACTGCCAGGCTGGCTTAAAGTTACTTGAGTGATGGTGATAATTTCAAATTCAACATGGGAACCACACTTCCTTTGAACGATCTTGAAACCAGGTATTGAAAGGGAAAAATCAGGAGCCATCTTGAGAGACGCTTCCCCCTCCTCTCCTCCAAAGGTATTGGCTGACCAGCAGTTTTAGAAGTGACCAGAAGTTCAACTTGTAAGGCTGAGACAATAAATCTATGTATCCTGGACTTGGCAAAACAAAATATGGGGAGCAATGGGCTCAACTGACCTCAGAGGAGAGTAGGACTGGAACGATAAATCTGAACGTATATATGCTGGGTTCAACAAAAGCAGGACATAGGGAATAAAAAATTTATGTCTCTGTAGATACCCTGAATCCTGTTAGCCATCAGTAACCTCATGCTTATTGTTCAGTCAGTAACTTCAAAGAACTGCCTCACCCCTATCCCCCTCAGTCAATCCCAAGCTGCATGTAAACCTTTTCTATATAAACCCCTTAAATTGAGTGCTCGGGGCCGGTCTCCGGTCTCCTCCACCCACTGTGTCGGATGTTGGACTGAGGACCAAACTTGCTTGTTTTGTAATTAAAAACCTCTGTGTGTTTGCATCGGATATTGGCTCTGTGGTGGTCTTGCTTGGGGGTCTTGAGACCTGGGCACAACAGTATCACCCGTGGATGAGGTGTGCCTGGGCAGGACCCTAGGGCAAGGGCATCTCTCCCTGGTCCCTATGACTTTGTAGCCTCTTCTGTGAGTGATGAACCATTGTCCACCAGAAGGTAGCAAAGCCATTTAAAACAAGGCAATCTGAGCAGGGCGGTGGTGGTGGTGGTGGTGGTGGTGGTGGTGGTGGTGCATGCCTTTAATCCCAGAGGCAGAGGCAGGCAGATCTCTGTGAGTTCGAGGCCAGCCTGGCCTATAGAGGGAGTTCCAGGGCAGCCAGGGCTATACAGAGAAACCCTGTCTTGAAAAAAACCAAAACCCAAAAAAACAAAAAAGGCAATCTAAGTGCATACTAAAGGAAATGGAAATAAATGGGCTGAGAGACTCAACCATCACTCTTGTCTACCAATTTATTTATTAGGTAATGCACATACCAGAGGCCCTACGGCACAAGATTAAGTAGCTTGACAATCTGGAGAAGACAGCAGTCAGGGTTAGAAGACTTGGAGCAAGCAACACTGCTTGGCAGCATGTGGAAAGTCAGGACATTGCCAGAAACTTCCACCCCTGCAAGGAACATCATGAACCAGGCCTGCACCCCATCTATGGCAGGCAGCATCACCCCAGAGGGAAGAGAAAGACCCAGAGGACAAAGGCCTTTCCCTAGACACTCTCCATCTGTGACATGTGCTCAACCCAGGGGTCACAGATCCTGCCTGCTAAAACTGAGGAAGGGAAGGACAGGGAATGGGGAGCCCGGAGGGGTCACACGGTGCCAAATGTCAAAAAATACAAGAAGAGCACTAGGCAAAGAACACAGGGGCACAGGGAGGGCGAGGGGGGAGGGGACGGGGGGGGGCAGCATGCGTGTGTCCATGTGAGAGCAGGAGAGGGCCTAAAATGAATGCAGTCAGAAAGGTATGGCTTGGAGGGTGGTGGGGCAAGGTTACACGTTCAATGGTTTGTAAAGTTTCAGAAGAGGAGCATGGCCTGGTAAGCAGTTCCCCAGTGTTTGCCTGCAGCTCTCTCCAGAGGTCAGGTAAAAGCTAATGCCACAGCACAAAGCGAGTTGGGGACACAGAAGGAGCACATCACTGTCTGAAGGAAACGGTGGACCAGAGACTCCATGTCCCGGTGGCAGCCAAAGAGACATTCTGCCTCATCTCTTCAATTCCATAACCCAGCGTTTCCCTTGACGGTGCCACGGGTTCAGGCTACTCCCTCAGTGAAACAAGCACTGCACCGAGAGCTTCAGTTTCTCCCTCAAGGTGGGGTCCTTCAGTGGAGGCAAATCCTTGGCCTTCAGGACAACCGCATGGGCCTCCTGGAAGAGGTTCTCCCCCACCGCAGCTTCCACACGCTGACGCCATGCCGCCAGTTTGGGTCGGCTCTCGAAGATTTTGCAGCCAGCACTGACGGGCTGTAGGGAGCACAAGCCAAGGAGAGGGGCTAAGTTCCTCCATCTACAAGGCAGCACGGCCGGTTTCGGTGTTCCCCCCCGCTACCTCGTCCCTCCTCCACCACCACCTGCGAGGCCCCTCTCAAGGCCTCCAAGAAAGAATTTCTAGGGGCTGGAGAGATGGCTCAGCGGTTAAGAGCACCAACTGCTCTTCCAGAGGTCCTGAGTTCAATTCCCAGCAACCACATGGTGGCTCACAACCACTTGCAATGAAATCTGGTGCCCTCTTCTGGCCTGCAGGGACACATGCAGGCAGAATACTGTATACATAATAAATAAATAAATCTTTAAAAAAAAAAAAGAATTTCTAAGGATTTACTGGATAATGCTAAGAATCAGTGATGGTCAAAAGCTCAGTCATAAATCAGGCATTTCATGTCACCCCTCCCAAGGCTTAGGAAATACTGGGGGAAGGAGTCACATAGAACACTGACTTCCAGGAATGGAATAGCATAGCATTTGCATATGGGGCCTATTAGCATCCTGTTATGGAGCGATGATGGACACTTGGGGTCTCACCCCTCTCTGAGGATAATGGTGGTTGGGAGACGGAGACATTTTCTTCAGTGGCCACTGGTTAGGTGCCCATGCTTTGTAAACAAATCCTCACCCATCCACCTGTAAGCCACCTTGAAACTCACACACACACACACACACACACACACACACACACACACACACACACCAACATGATGGCAAAATGGAAGCTAGTGAGAGATGGATCAGCAGGACTGGAGGGCAGAGATGGCTGAGGGGTAAATATGATCCAAATATATTATGCACACGTATGAAAGGGTCGTCACGAAACCCACTGTTATGCGCAGTAAATATATGCTAATAAAACATTTTAAAATTCACTTTCTAGATGAAGACGACTAAGGCTCAGAGAGAGAAGTGACTTCTCCAGGGCCCCACAGCCAGAGAGTCGGCATGAGCAAGGGCTCCCTCCCAGGACCCGCCATCATTCAGCAGGTCGCCCCACTCCACAGCACTCACATGCATCAGCTCTGTGATGGCCATCAAGTCAGCCACAGAGATGTGGGATCCTGTAAGGAAGGCCTGGTCCCGCAAGAACTTGTCCTCCAGCATCTGCAGGCATCTGTCCAGTTCAGCCAAAGTGGATGCCAACATCTCTGGGGGGACCGGCTGTCCCAGGTACACAGGGAACATCATCTGGTGGACCAGCAGAAAGATTTGGCTCTGCCCAACGCTCATCTATTGTCGCCCTCTTATCCATCCATCTCAGCTCCTAGGACCTTTCCTTGCCCTTCTCCTGCATAAAGTCACTCCTGGCTCTCAGGACCAAGACCTCAACACAAAGCCCTCCCCGGTGTAGCAGCTATCTTCCTGTCCCTACTTCGGATCCCCTTTCACTTCAAGAGGGACCTCTCAAGAGAGACAGGGTAGTTGATACACTGTTGAGGGAATTACTGGGCTAAAGCCAGTACTCAGGAGGGCCACTAGCATGAAACTCTTGACATCCCATGCTGGAATTCTAAGATCCCCAAGTTTAAAAGTTTAAACAGAATATTTAATTTAAAATGTATATTTATTTATTTATCTGTTTGTTTGTTTGTTTCGAGTGAGTGCACACACGCTCTCACACACGCATGTGCATGCCTCCCTCACCACAGCAAGCTTGTGGAGTTCAGAAGGCAACTTGCAGAAACTGGTCCTCTCCTTCTACACTGTGAATCACAGGGACTGAACTCAGGATGTCAGGCCTGTTGACAACTGCCTTTACACCCACTGAGGCATATCACCGGGCCAAGAGCTTTCATGTTTAACCGGGAGCACCATCTCCGATGCATCCCGAGAGGTAACCCTGCCCTTTGTCCCCGTGGCTCACCTTTTGCCACATGGCCCTGGTGCAACCATCTCGAAGGGCTGTATGCTGCCACGACAGGTACTCATCCACTCGCGCTCGAGCCTGAAGGTCCTGAGGGTACCAGTGGTCGGGGGCCTTGTACTTCCTACTCAGATACAGCAAGATGGCCACACTGGAGGCATCCAGAGGGGAGGAGAACATGCCCTGGTCATTTCTTCAGTCACCTTGGTCTAGGGCCAGAGTGTGTTGTACCTGAATCTCCACATGCCTTCTTATCCAGCCTGGGGACCCTTTCAAACATAAGGGGGATGGGAGCTCACCCCTGCTCAGATTCTCCTGAGGCCCTTCCCGTCTACAGGAAAGGTCGAAGCCTTTTTCCCTATTCTCCACCACCTCCCTCCACGGCTGTGCTTGCTTCCTCCACCCCAGCAGTACTGGCCACAGCCCGTCAGCCCGTACCCCTGCACGGTCCAATGACACGGCCTTCACCTTGGTCCTTCCAGCAAGAACTCACTTCCCACATCCCTGGCACATCAGTACTGGAAGTTCCTGCTTGCTTACCACCTCGGAAGCAGGCTTCCCTCTTAACCTCTCACCTGAAATCACATCCCCCAACCTGTATCCTCTCCAGTGCCCTCTCCACCTGCCATGTTCCTGTCACTCCTCCCTCCAAAATATGAGTTCCCTGCAGGCCCAGATGATGTTCTGCTCAAGCTCCAAGGATGGACAGTGACCTGGTGCTCCTGGGTGCTCAGCAGAAGAGAACTAAGTTCAGTGGGTGATCCTTTGGCTTCAAGGGAAGCAGCGAGCCGCCCCCGCCCCACGCGCCCCCAGGATATGTGGTAGATGTGGTATTTGCAGGGCCCGGCACAGCCACTCTCTCTTTGACACTGTCCTTCCTCCTGAGGGCTGGGCTAACAGAGAGGGGCTAGGAAGCAGCCTACCTCTATCCCAGGCTCACGTTCCTCATCCATAAAATGCAGAGGGAGGGAGGGAGGGAGGGAGGGAGGCATACCATGTCTTCAAAAGCCCCATCTCAACCCCAGGTACCTGTTTAAGTTTGATCTGACCATCTACCCCTTGGGGCCGACACAGAAGCCACAGTCCATGTTGTTGGCTGTGGGCCCAGACAGGTGGCCTGCCTCACACAGCTTGGCTGCCAGCCAGGAGCCCATTACCTCTCTGCCAGGATGAAGTCCCCATCCTTCAAAGCTGGCACCTTCCTCAAGGGGTTCACCTGCGCAAAGTCGTCTGTGTAGTGCTGGCCTGCAGAGAGACCAGAGAGGTCAGGGGAGAGGACTCCGAGGCTCTTCGAGGTCTGCCTGCAGCCTTCCCGACATTCAGGCACCAGGTTTCCCACCAGAAGCCTCAGGGAAGAGCAAGTTACCATGATGGCCAGTGGATCACATTCTATCACAAATATTGATCCTATCACAAATACTGATCCTACAAATCCATTTGCCTTCACCTCTGTGAAGCCTGGGTGTCCACTTGAGTCTGGGAAGGAGGTGATTCTGTGCAGTTATGGCTTACCGTCATCCTGTCCTAGGCAAGAACTCGGCGGGTTCTTCTGACCAGACTAGGTGACCCGTGCACATCCCTAGAGCTCCAGCCCTTTCTAATCTCAGTTCTCAGCTCCATGCGGCTCTTGCCAGGACCAAGTGCCCCATTCGGCCATCTGGCCTCTAGAAGCTCACTTCTTCCTTTTCTGTGCCAAGCCCTCAGAAGCTCCCTCTCCTCACTTGCGGTTCCCAGACCAAACTCACTGCCTCTCTCCCAAGCACCGTGCCTAAGCCAGAGCTGATGATAACAAGCGAGGTTGCCCAGTCAATGTGAGTAGAGTCAGGGAGCATTTGGTGAAGCCAGGTTCTAGATGCATCTGTGGGCCTCTCTCTCCTTCCACTGAATGGACTGGATCACCTTTGTCCACTCCTTCCACAAACTGCCCATGAGCAGCCCCTGTCCTGTGGCCCAAGTGGAAAGCGGGAGGACTCAGCTGAACAGGAAGTTCGAGAGTCTCTGCCGGTCCCCTTGTGACTGTGTCCAGCAGTAGCCCTGCCTCCACTGAGTTCTGCTTCAGGGGCTGGTTTTCCTTTTTGGGTTTGTTTGTTTCGTTTTTCAGGCTAACCAGAGCAACATTCCAGCTTCAGTGAGACTGAGTGCTGGCCTCTCCCACTGTCCCTTCACACAGCCCTCTAGCTGACTGGAAACCCCCATAAAGCAAACTTCTAGAAGGGGAGGTGGGGTGTGAATCGGCCTGGCAAGCCTGTAACGCCAGCTCTGTGGGAAACTGGGAAGGATCTTGGGCTCAGTGTTTGACTGGGCTAAGAATGAGTGCTATGCCTGGACATGTCAGCAACTCTGTCTCAAAATGATAAGTAGAAAGAGGGCTGAGAGTATAGTTCAATGGGAGCATGTATGATAGATATCCTAGTTTGGTCCCCAGTAAAACACACACACACACACACACACACACACACACACACACACACACACACACCACACTACACATACACTACACACAACACTACACACACACTAAACACACTACACACACACTAAACACACTGCACACACACTACACACACTACACACAAACAAACACACACACACACACACACACTAATGGCAAGCAAGCCTGGGACTTGACTCCGGTGAGTAGGAGACACACAAGAATCGTAAGTGGAAGATCACACACTCAAGTTAAACAACTCTTTTCTGTCCCAGAATGCAGAAATGCAAGATGGAGATCCTCCACTCAGAAAACGAGTTAGTTCAACTTTTTTTCTCCAATGCCAAGAGGTGGGATTTTCATGCCCTGGCTCTCCCCCACCACCACCAACACCCACCACCACTCCCCACCCCCCGCCTCCTCCCAAGAGCTTCTACTGCGACTTTGCATCTGGTATTTGGGGGGATGTTATTCACCAGGCAAAGGTTCTTTAAAAATTCACAGTTGAGGGGACTAGAGAGACGGCTAAGTGGTTAAGACTTGCTGCTCTTTCAGAGGACCTGCATTCGGATCCCAGCACCCACGTCAGGTGGCTCACAATCACCTAGAACTCCAGCTCCAAAGGACCTCTTCTGGCCTTCTGGGGTACCCGTACACACACGCATACATAAAACAAAGCTTTAAAAAAACGTCCACAGCTGATAACTGATACAACCGCTTCCTTCGGGGAGCGACTGGCGTTTCCTCTCGTTTGCACACCTGGTCTGACCGTTCACAGGCTGCTGAGGTGCACCGTACACACGGCTGCAGACTACCCAGCCCTCTAACCCGGCCCACCTTTGAGCAGCTCTATGGTACGCAGCTGGAAGGGGATGTTGTTCTTCTTGGCGAAGATGTAGACAGCACGGCAGGGCTGGGACATCAGGTCCAGGTAGAGCTCCAGGCCCATGGCGGAGGCTGTAGGAGTGGCCGCTGGCAAACCTGGCAGTCTGACCGCGCGGGGACTGCCTCAGGGGACAGAGTTGGAAGCAGCAGCAACGGCGTGCAGGAACGGCTGGGGCCCCGGACCCTCAGGACTTCTTATCCTATACCACAGAGCCCGATCACAGCCTTTCCTCCCATTGGATGCTCATGAGAACTTCGGGCCAATCAGAGGCGGGCTGCTCATTAAGTCCTGCACAAATCAACCTGAACTGTGTACTTGGGTCTTGCTTTTGGGCCAAACTCCACCCCGTACCTCGGGACGTTTCCATCGGTGAATGTAGGGGCAAAAGAGCTGTGCTGTCTGCCTGCCTGCAGTTCACTCTCTCTCCCTCCACTCAGGGAGAGGGCTGAGGGAGGAGTGGCATCAAAGATCCTTGACACAGAAAAAGGAGGAGGAAGTGGAACCGCCTCCTCACCCAGTTCCCCTGGGCCCAGGACTCAGGATGGGGATGGTCTTTGGCCAACAACACCCTGTGAGGAAATGATCTGGCCCTCTCCATTCTTATTTGACCCCAGCTAATCCTCTTCTAGAAGCTAGGGGGAGGGAGGACTGCAGATGTGCCTGGGATTGGATAAAAAACTTCTCCACCCAGTGCAAAAAGTGGCACTCAGGGGCACCTAAGGCCTATATGACATCACCATTTCCCAAGAGAAACTCCCAGTTTCCCAAATGACAAGTCCAGAAAATGCGTCGTGGCACAATAGGACATTGGGATAGTTGAGAATAGCTTTGTCATCGTGGTTCCAAATGTTCCCCTTTAAGGAAGACCTATCCCCACCCCCCACCCCCGGGAAAGTGTCTTCTTGTCACAGCGGAAGCTGACCTCTCTAGACAGGGGGTGGGGGGGGGCAGTCCCCGTTTTCCCACCTCTTCCCTTTGGTGTTTCACAGCTCTCCACAAGCTGCCTTTGTCTCCCCACCTCCCCTCACCCCCAACTACAGCAACCTCCAGTCTCTCGTGCTCCCTTCCTGGCTGCCTTCTAGTCTACACCCCCACACCCCAAAGCTAGAATATTATCCCAGAATGCACTCTGAGCCCCTCATTCCTGCTTACAGTTTGTACCCAAGAGTTTGAGCATGACCTTTGACCAGGAGAGCAGCTGTGGGGGTATTTTCTCCTCTTGACCAATTCTGTAGGTCAGGAAGAGTTGATGATCCTATGAACAGGCCATGTCCAAAGGCTGGCCTGGCCAAGTGATGGGCTTCCATGCCTTCAGCTGAGGCACCTGTTGGCCCCATTCTCCAAGAACCAGAAGTCTGAAAGGCATTTGTGATGTAGCTCGCTCTGTTTTTTGTTGTTGTTTTCTTTGTTGTTGAGATACAGTCTCACACTGTATCCCAGGCTGGAATGGATCTCAATGTGTAGCCCAGACTGGCCTTGAACTCTCAGTGATCCTCGTGCCTCATCCTTCTGAGGGCTGGATTACAGGCATGAGTTACCATGCCCATCTGTGATTTCATTCTTGGCAACCATGAGAGGGGAAATGACTCTCAAAGCCTGGGAAATGGAGTTGTCTTTTGGAAAGGTAACTGGGCCAGAATAGAGGAAGAGCAAATAAACAACACAGAGAAGCTAAGGCTTAGGTCGAGCCTGGGTTTATTATCCAATTGTAGTTATGGTCATGCATGGCTATCATGGAAAAAGGGTGAAGATGGAGCCTGGCCTAAAAACCATTATGCTGTGAGGCTAGGATGCATTACAGCAGCAATAAAAGCGCTTAGTAAACTGCTAGAGTCGGTGCAGGGATGAGGCTTCTGGACTCACTGGATCATGGCCAGCACTCCAGGCATCATCTTCTGCTTTATGACGGGGTTGGCAGGTGGAGAGTCCTTAACCTTCAGGATGACCTCATGGGCCTCATGGAAGAGATCCTTTCCCACCGCTGCCTCCACTCGATGGTACCACGCAGCCAGCTTGGGATGCCCTTCAAAGACTGGACAGCCACCACCTACAGGCTATATCAAGAAAGGAACAGAATGTGAGTGGGTGAGTTCGTGGCTAATTTTGGTTGATAACTTGACATACGTGGAAAAGAGAGAACTCAACTAAGGAGTTGTCTCCATCAGATTGGCTTGTAGGAATGTCTGCCTGGTGTTTTCTTGATTGTTGACTGATGTGAGAGGACCTAGTCCACTGTGGATGATGTCACCTCTGGGAAGGTGGGCTTGGGTTATATAAGATAGCCGAATGCAAGCCTGGAAGCAAGCCAGGGTGGCTTCTGTGGTCTCTTTGTTTCTGTTCCTGCCTTCAAATTCCTTCCTTGAGCTCCTCCCCTGGTTTCCCTTGATGATGGACTGTAACCGATAAACTGAAATAAATTCTTTCTCCTCCAAGTAGTTTTCACTCTTTGTCATGATATTTATCACAGCAACAGAAAAGCAGACCAGAAATAAAAATTGGTGCCAGAAGTGGAGTGTTTCTGTAATGGACCTGACCATGTTGGTTTTGGGGCGGAGGGTTATGGAAGCATTTGGAACTGTGGGCCCAAAAAGTCATTGAGTAGTTAGAGATGAATGAGCTGTGCTATGGTAGTTTGAAAGAAACAAATGTTGAAAGAAATACAGATGATGGAGACCTGGTTTGTAAGGTTTCAAATGGAAATTTAGAGTCTCTCAAAGACTCTATCAGGGTCACCAGTATGATATATTGGCAAATTCTAATTGGTCTTAATAATAAAAACCCAGAGTCAGATATTGGGGTAAATGCTGAAAGATCAGAGAAGTAAAGGAGCAGCCACAGTCACCTCTTACCTCCATGACTCCTCAGACCAAAAAGGGCGGAGCTCCTGTCTCTGCCAGCCTTATATTCCAATTTCTGCCCAGTCATATCACTTCCTGTCTCCTGTCTATAAAGACCTACAGACCTCTAAGGTTAACTAATGCCTAGCTCCACACTCTGATCTTCAGGCAAGCTTTATTTGTTAGAACACAAACAGAATATCACCACATTTCCCCCTTTTGTCTAAAATAAAAAAGGTTATAACTAATATAAGAAAAACTATATACAATAAGTAAAATAACTATATACAAATATATACAAGCAATAACTACATCAAAAATACTTAGTCAATTAACATTTGACAAATTCAGAGAAAAAACTCCATTATTTATCCTATCTTGGTGAGTCCAATAGGTTGTATCTAATTCACTTTCCATTCTAACTTGCATTACCAAAACTATCTTTTGTCTCTCAACCCTATACACTTTACACCTCTTTAGTGAATTTCTTTTCTGAATCTGATAACAAGGAAAACTATAATTATAACCATAAAGACTTCAACTCCATCAGAGACCCGAGAAGGAAATACTATTACCTGAGTAAGCAGGAAGTACAAGCAAGCAACTTCCAAAACATGTGAGAAATGACTGAAATAACTGGCTGCTGGACAGTCACCCCAGGTTCCTCTGCAATGTTGGAGCGTCCGTCTTCAGCCTACAGGCCTAGCATATCTAATAGACTCATCTGTGAAGCAGGATATTCTGAAGGACTGTCCTACGTTGTCTTAGCAGAATTCGGCAGTCCTTTATTTTGTGCCCTGCTTGTCCACTTTGTACAGCATACTGTCAGCAGTGGAGGCAAGGGCATTTCCTTGCCCAGTGGCTAACTTTTGCCACAAAGAAAGTAATCTCTCTATGGAGTTTCTTCGATACCCATCATCTTCTCTGAAGTACATTGGTGCTGCCGGGAGCAGACATGTCTCATTGTTATAAGAAAAGAATCTGCTCTTTCCTTTCCGCTCCTTCCTTCCATCTGGACCTCCTTCTTCTCTCTCTCTCTCTCTCTCTCTCTCTCTCTCTCTCTCTCTCTCTCCCCTTCTCTCCCCCCTCCCAATAAAGCTCTAAAAAGGTAACTATGGCTCGTGACTCTCCTCCAGCACTCTCCTCCGTTGGCATGGCCGCCGCGCACAGATTTAACCAACATTGGTGCCGAAACCCCGGATAGACCACCGAGGACCTGCTGACTGCTGCCGCTTGCCACCTCCTCCCCCATCCAGCCAGACCGTGCATCCCTCACCTCCACTGGACTCCTACACAGCTACCACTACTGGTACCACCATGATTCTTCTGATTCTTCTGATTCACATTCCCTGTTCTAACTCACTGTTCAGCTAATGGTACAGGACCACCACAGAACCAGAGTCCAGAGAATATCATCTTGTCAAACAGAAAGTTCCCAGCCACAGCCAAGAGGGATACATGTCTCCAGATCAAATGGATGACAGACAGCATCCCACAACGCCTGTCTGCCTCGGAAGACTCCCCTAAGAGCCAACCGACGTCCAATTGTCAGCTGGACGCAGTTTTTTGAGAGGAACGATGCCCCTATTCCCACCTACCTGCTTTTTTTTAATAAGTGAAAGTCTGGGATGTAAGGATTCTGTCTTTAATTACGTCATCAGCCTGGGACAGCGTCCCAGACTAAAAAGTGGGTGGGCCCTCTGTGCGTCCCTCTCTTTCCTTTCCACTCCTTCCTTCTGTCTGGACCTCTTTCTTCTCTCTCTCTCTCTCTCTCTCTCTCTCTCTCTCTCTCTCTCTCTCCTCTCTCTCCCTCTCTCTCTCTCCCTCTCTCCTTCTCTCCCCCCACTCCCAATAAAGCTCTAAAAAGGTAAAAAAAAAAAAAAAAAGAATCTATGTTATTAAAACATCTTAAGTGCCATATTCTGTAGATCTCTGAAGTGTTTGAAGATGACCTTTCTATCTAAACTATATCTCTGTTCAACCTTGAAAACATACCTGCTGTGGATATCGCTCTGTATAAATAAAATGCTGATTGGTCAGTAGCCAGGCAGGAAGTATAGGTGGGACAAGCAGAGAAGAGAATTCTGGGAACAGAAAGGCTGAGAGAGAGACACTGCCAGCTGCTGCCAGGACAAGAAAAGATGTTAAGATACCAGTAAGCCACGAGCCACGTGGCAACTTATAGATTAATAGAAATGGGTTAATTTAAGATATAAGAACTAGATAATAAGAAGCCTGCCATGGCCACACAGTTTATAAGTAACATAAGTTTCTGTGTTTACTGTGTTGGGTCTGAGCAGCTGCGGGACTGGCGGGTGAGAGAGATTTGTCCTGACGGTGGGCCAAGCAGGACCAGAAAAATACCAGCTACACATACCTAATCTGACTACAAGATTGTAATGACTAACTACTAACTTACATTTCTTTATACCCTAATTAGTTGGTAATAATAACTTTCAAGGACTAGAAATTTGCATAACATTATTTTTTTATTTCTTTTTTTTTTAAGATTTATTTATTTATTATGTATACAGTGTTCTGCCTGCACATATCCCTGCAGGCCAGAAGAGGGCACCAGATCTCATTACAGATGGCTGTGAGCCACCATGTGGTTGCTGGGAATTGAACTCAGGACCTTTGGAAGAGCAAGCAGTGCTCTTAACCTCTGAGCCATCTCTCCAGCCCCTTGCATAACATTATTAAATGAGTTGTATAGGTACAATAAATTGAAGGAGAGTAGAAATGTGTGTGCAGTATGTTCTAACAAAAATAATCTCAAGTTTATATCAATATATAATGAGCCATATCAATGTAAAATATTTAAAACTAGTAGTTCCTTTTTTGGTTTAAAAGTAGATTCAATAATCTATCTTTTTATGCTATCATATCTATATCCCCTTTTTTCTTTTCAGAGTAGATTCAATAATCTACGCTTTCATTCTATCATTTCCATACTCCCCTTTTTTCTTATCAAAACAAGAACCCTGAATCTAATCTTCTTTGTTCAGTTTTTGCCCTGACCATTACAAATAACAGCTTGTAACCAACCACTCTAAACAATGACAAATATCCATAATCCACTGAATGACCAAAAACCACCACCCCCCACCTCTTAGGAGTGTGGACATTGTGTTCTTAAGTTTACTTCCTGCTGTCTGGGGGTGATGGCATCTTTAGGGGATCCTTAAAAGAAAAATTTGGGTTAATTATCAAGTCCTGGGAGAGGCAGCTGTATCATTTGTTGTCCAATCTCTGCATAATGGGAAAGTGCAGGGCTTGTCTCAAGCCCTGGCTAGAGTAGTCTGTAAGGCTGGATCATCTCAGCTAGCCATCTCAAAATTGTCCTGAGTAGTTTATAGTCCAAAGCTAATCTTTGGGTGGTGTTTGTCAGCTTAGGGGCATTATCATAGTCCTGGTGGAATCCTTGTTGTGCGGCCCCATCATCCTTTTGGAGACTTCAAAGGTTGCTGTTAGGCATGGTCATAATTCGCTGCAGAAAACTTAAACATTTTAAATGTCATATGAAGCATATCTCGAAGACATTAAAGGACCATAATTTGTTATGTACATCTAGAGTAGAAAAACTTAATTCCTAGTTACCTGATAAAGACTCAAACCTGAAATCATGTACAGGAAGCTAGACGAAGCCTTTTTCTAGAATTAGTCAGCACTCTATATGACCATTAACATCATGACAAAAAGTTTTAAAATATATATCTGAAAGACCCAGACACAGTTCCCCCAGACCCCAAAAGAGCTGAGAGAAGAGATATCTTAAAAGTGAGTCAGTTCCCCCTTCCTGGAGAGGGTGAAGTCAGGTGTTTTCAAAAGAACAAAGTCAGGATGTCTGATGGTAACCGATTAACCACAAGATACCCCTCTCTGGAGATAACATGACCAGACCCCGGAGATGAGTTGTAAAACTCCTAACAGGGCAAACAGATAAGCTAAAATAAGACGAAGTCCAGGCCCGGGAAAAACTGGACCAATCAAGGATGGACCCGTACTAACCCCCTCCCCTCTAAGAAATTTTATGGGTTTTGCCTATAAAAACTAACTTCCCCAAGAAAGAGTAACTCCTCCCTGCCTTGCTGCGCTGCGGCCAGTGAGTGCTTGAGATGAGTTCCCTGTCGCGCAACTTGTAACAAAGATAAACCTTGCTATTGCATTCTGGTATGCTCGTCCTTGGCGGTCTCTCTGGGGGTCACGATCTGGGCACAACAATATCGATCTTATAAATTTTGATATAATATTTATACCTTAAGAAAAGTTTTAGGCTGGGCAATTTAAAGCACACTTTTAATCCCAGCACTCAGGAGGCAGAGCCAGGCAGATCTCTGTGAGTTCGAGGCCAGCCTGGGCTACAGAGTGAGTTCCAGGAAAGGCTCAAAGCTACACAAAGAAACCCTGTCTCAAAAAAAAACAAAAAAGAAAAAAAGAAAAGTTTTAAAGAGTCAAAATAAAACCAAAAGGTTATTCTATTAGAGGCAATAAAATAGTCCTTTAATTTTTATTTTTCTTTTGTCTCATATCAGGTGGCTCTTCTGACATAAGACAGAGATTTTGGATTTTACTTTAACAAGCATGCTTGAGTTTAGAGGAGGAGAAAGCCACACGTCAACTCCAAAGCCAGCTTTAATTTTCAATTGAACTGGGACTACAAAAAGACCAGTTGCATTATATATCTTTAGAGAACAGCAGAAACAAACATTTGGGAAGATTTATGAAATTTTATCCTGTTGGAAATGTGATATATTAATAGGCCAATTTACTCTTCTTCTTGGGACATTTTTTTTCTGGATGATTTGTTCTTTTTCTTCACATGTCTCATTTGTCCAGTGGTCTTCAGATTCCTTAGTTGGATGCCTTCCTCTCCTGAAAAGGCCAAAACTAAACCCTTCCCCAACCCTAATTTTGGGGATGTTCCCTTATGGCAAGTTATATCTGGTCAAATGAAAAGCATTTGTTAGTGGTATAAGTTAGTTTAAATTGAATGGTCATGCTGGTTGATGAACTATCATCTCTTCTAATTAAGAGGTCTCTCTTGTTCTGTTAAGTTCTTTAATTGCTCTGGGAAGGCGTTTCCCCCACAGTCACAGGGGATGACTGAAACAAATTTGCAACAGGCCCCTCAAGGCATTTCCCAATGGCAAAGGGTTACCTTCACTGTCCCTTGTTGATCTACATTCATTAGTTCAATGTCTGCCTTTGCCACACCTTTTGCATAATTCAGAAGGAAGGGGCGTTCTGTTTGGATTATTCTTAGAAAAAAAATTGTCTCTAGGAATGCCCTGTTTACAATCCCTTTTTAGATGACCGTATTTACTGCGATTGAAACACCTGACATTTTGATTTTTCTTCAAACCTCTGAAAATCACCTCTCCTATCCAAACATCATCATGGTTATGAAATCCAATATTGACTGTATCTCTGATTCATTCCTCTAAGAATGCTGATCTTACCTTTAATGGTCGAATTACCCTTTTGCATTGTAAATTAGAATTTTCAAAAGCCATAGATTCAATTATTATTTGTCTAGCTTCTAAATTTGGTATATCATTCTATTTACTGCTGAAATCAATCTTTGTAAGAAATCAGTGAAGGTTTCTTTTGGGCCCTGCATTACTTTAGTAAATGACTCAATTTTCTTTCCTACTTCTTCAATTCTGTCCCAAGTATTCAAAGCTGCTGCACAGCATAAAGCCAGGGTGTGGTCATCATACAGAGATTGCCTTTGTACATTAGCATATCTCCCTTTCTAAGAAGTTAGTCTTGGAAGATTTCCACACTTCTAACCCTACTTCATTGTTTAATGGTTTTAACCTCATCCTTCCATCAGGTCCTCCACTGTAATTGAGGACCAGGCTCCAAGACTGCTCTAGTCTTGAGGGATAATTCTATTACAAGTTGACCACGAGTTTAACATCTGCTTCACAAAAGGTGAATGCATGCCATATGAGACTATAGTTTCCTTAGCTCTAACATTTCCACAGGAGTCCATTCAGTTCTTACACAGTTTTGAGGATATCTATCATTTGGTAATTCCTGTAAGGTTACTGGATAAATTAAAGTTGGTTGTTTGGAAACCTTGGCCGTCCTTCCCTAACCTTATAATGTGATGCTGAGATTGGCTGTCCTTTAAATTCTTCTGTCTGGGTCTGAATATCTCTATGATCTGTTTTAATAAGTTTTTCTAAAACTTGTATCTTAGCACCGATATTAACCAACTTTTTTAGTGATAAAACAAAAATGATAAAACTGATGATGTTTATAATTGACATTACATAAATCACATCTAAATTAATTATCCTCTCATTTAATTATTCCATTTTTAAACCATCCAGCATATTATCATGCAGAGCCCTAACTCCCTCCATTGTAATAGTGTTTTCCATTTTTTAACATGGGAAAAAGACTCTCTCTTTTAACTAATTCTCCCCCTTTAAGAATTCTCATTGAATCTGCTGACAATGACGGTTCAGATGACAGTGAAGTGTGAAGCTAACTGTCTGAAAAACACACACAGGGGATGATGGGGAAGAAACATGTGCACCGGGAGCTGCCTAAAAGCAGAGCTGGCTGGTGTTGAGGGGCTAACTCCGGCAGCATATTGAGCCTATGCGCCTGTGGAGTTTGTTGCAGAGAGGCTGCAACAGAAAAAATCCCAAACTCACTCAGAGGCTTAGGGAAAAAAGAGAGGAAAAGCTAGCCAGTGGGGTAGTGACTGGTGGGAGTTCCTGCATGCAACTCTGGCATGTTCCGGTGTCTGCAAAGCCACAGGCAAGAGGCTTTTTCCTGAATTCATGCCCCAAAGTTGGATGCCAGATGTAGCACTAATTCTAATTGGTCTTAATAATAAAAACCCAGAGTCAGATATTGGGGTAAATGCTGAAAGATCAGAAAAGTAAAGGAGTAGCCAAACTCACCTCTTACCTCCATGACTCCTCAGACCAAAAAGGGCGGAGCTCCTGTCTCTGCCAGCCTTATATTCCTCTCTCTGCCCAGCCATATCACTTCCTGTCTCCTGTCTATACAGACCTCCAGACCTCTGTGGTTAACTAATGGCTAGCTCCACACTCTGATCTTGAGGCAAACTTTTTGTTACAGCACAAACAAAATATACTGTATGTACCACAATAGACTAATAGTCTGTGGAAGTAAAGCATTGGGACAGTGGATGCTGGTTAGCTGGGGCTGAAAACTCAGCTGTCATTAATAAGACCAGCAACACTGAGGTAACATCCGGGAAGTATTTTCCTCAGGGTCAGCACACCGAAGTTGTGGTCCAATAGTGGGGTAGGCCAAGGATGCACGTCAAACTGGCAGCAGGGCTTGGCAGACGATGTGTAAGAGTCTCCCACGTGGTACTGGATTTGAAGGCATGAAGGAGCCATGGACAGCAACTAAGGTTTGGCGCTGTATGAAGCCAGGAGAGGCCGTTGGTAACGCTGCAGACTCAGTTCTAGTGGAAACTCTGGAAGCCTGGATATGCCAGGACTATGAGGTGACCACCGAGGACAGTGGCAAGTGTGGCATGAGTCCAGCCTGAGCCAACAAGACAACCTGTGTGTTACAGATGGCGAAGCAGGAGAGCTACAACTGCCCAAGCCCTTTGGAGCCCAGTAGATCATGGATGAGTCACAGATGTCAGACACTGAACTGTTCATGCTATAGGATTTTAGTTTTGCATTGGTCTGATTGTAACTCTGCCCTTGTGAAACAAGTTCCCTCGGTGAACAAGGAATTATGCAACTTATTTTTGGATTTTACAGATTCCCTCAGTTAAGAGACTTCGGATTTTTGTTGTTATTGTTGTCTGTTTTGTTGTTTTGTTTTTTGTTTGTTTTGAGACAGTTTCTCTGTCTAGCCTTGGCTGTCCTGGAACTTGCTCTGTAGACCAGGCTGGCCTCGAACTCACAGAGATCCTCCTGCCTCTGCCTCCTGATTGCTGGGACTAAAGGCATGCGCCGCCACCACCTGGTGGCGAGACTTTGGATTCTTTTTTTTTTTTTTTTTTTTTGGTTTTTCGAGACAGGGTTTCTCTGTGTAGCTTTGCGCCTTTCCTGGAACTCACTTGGTAGTCCAGGCTGGCCTCGAACTCACAGAGATCCGCCTGGCTCTGCCCCCCGAGTGCTGGGATTAAAGGCGTGCGCCACCACCGCCCGACTGAGACTTTGGATTCTTAAAGAGAACTTGTGCTTTTTAAACCATTGGGCTTTTTAAAAGACTATGAGATATTTAAAATTGTATTGTGCTCTGTGATACTACCATGAGATCTTGGGGACAAAGAAATGAAAGATGATGGCTAGCAGTGGTGTGTTTGTGTGTCAGGCAGACAAGGAGTACATTGCGCTGGCTGGCTAGTTTTTTCCCACTTGACACAAACCTAGATATACCTAGGAAGAAAGAATTTCCACTGAGGAATTGTCTCCATCAGATTGGCCTGTGGGGATGTCTGTGGGGGTGTTTTCTTGATTGCTAACTGATGTAGAAGGGCTCAGTAAACAGTGCATGGTGCCATCCCTGGGTGACAGGCCTGAGCTGAGTAAGAAAGGTAGCTGAGCAAGCCACGGGGTACAAACCAGTAAGCAGTATTCCTCCACGAGTTCTGCTTCTGCCTTGAGTATCTGCCTTGGCTTCCCTCCATGATGCAATATAACCTGTAAGTCAAATGAACCCTTTCCTCCCCAAGTTGTTTTTGGGTTAGTGTTTTACACAGCCCCAGAGAAGCTAACTAGAATGGCCAAGGACTAACATTATAAATCTGGAAGGAGCGTCTGCACACAGGAACAGATCAACTAGTGGGGGTTAACAAAACTGGGACTTCTGTAACTAGCCAGTACTCCCTGTGTCTTATGGGCCCACTCCTTTTAGAGCACTCACGTGCATCAGCTCTGTGACAGCGACCAAGTCAGCCAGGGAGATGTGAGACCCAACAAGGAAGGCCTTGTCCTGGAGGAACTTGTCCTCGAGCACCCGTAGGTTCACATCCAATTCTGCCAATGTGGCTGCCAGTGTCTCAGAAGGTACTTGCTCACCCAGGAAAACAGGGAACATCACCTGGTGGGTAGGTAGACAAAATAAGGAACTGGAGCCAGCTGGGGGGTAGGAAGTCATGTCTCCGAACTTTGGAGCTGCCTTTTAGTTCTATGCTTCTTCCTTTATGGCCTGCCCAGACCTGCACAGAAATGTCACCCAAGTGACATTTTTGTTTACAAATAAATAGTCCTGCTTCCACCATCTCTGGTTGGCTGGAAAAAAAAAAAGAAATAGAACTAATATTTTTGAGGAAAGAAGCAGGTTAGGAACCACAGTCACGTGTCACTCATGGTCTCGAGTAAAGTGGTTACTTCATCTGGCAAATATCGCATACTTTCACAACATGAATAATGTAGATCAGTCACTCAGACAGCCTCTTCGGACAAACAAGGGACAAGGTAAACGGAAGTCCATATGGAAGCACAGAAGACCTTAACTACAGCAATTCCAAGCAGAAGAGCAATACGGAAGCTATTGCAGTACCTGTTCTCAAACTAACCTACAGAGCTACAGTAACAAGAACAGCATGGCACTGGTACAAAAGCAGTCATAGATGCCAGGGTAATAAAAGAGAGAACCCAGAAACAAACCTACACAGCCACAGCCTCCTGATCCTTCATGGGAGGGTTAAAAACATAGATAGGAGAAAAAGGCACCCCCACAAACAGCGGTGAGGAAAGCGGATACCCGTTTGTAAAAGAGCAAAACTGGATCCATATCTTTTACCCTGGACAAAAATAAATTCCAGCATGGCTCGAAGACATTGATGTAAGACCTCAGATGTTGAAACTGGCAGAGGAAAAGAAAAAAAAAAAATCATGAGTAAAACACTTCAAGATCTAGGCACAGACACGGACTTTCCGAGGGCTCCAGTAGCCTAAGAATGATCCTAAACCTTTGCAAATGGGATGACAAGAAAGTATAAGTTTCTATGAAGCAAGGAAAACCATCACTAGAGTAGACAGACAGTCCACAGAACGGAAGAAAATCTTTGTCAGCTATACACCAGACAGAGGAGTAACATCTAGAGTCTAAAATAATACAACACACTGCAACAATTAAACACCCAAACACCCAACCAATCAGTGGGCCAGGGAACTGAATACACAGTCCTCCAAAGAAGAACCACAAATGGCCAATTCCCACTTGGAAAGTGGAGCCAGTAGATGGTAGGATATCCATGCACACACAGGCAGCATTAAATGGACTCAGTGGGCTTAACAAAAACAAACAAACAAAAAGCACATGAATTTGGGAGGGAAAAGTATTGGGGGGTAGACAGGGGAAGAATTGGAAAGGAGGAAATGGGGATGGATTTGATCAAAACACATTGTGTGCATGTATAAAATCCTCAATAAAAGAGAACAGAAAAAACAAACAGTTTGACAGCCTTAACAATCAGGGAAATATAAAGATGCTTTGAGATTCCATCTCAACCCCAGTCAGAATGGCTATCATCCAAAAAAAAAAAAAAGACAGGGTCAGGAGAAACTGCTCAGTTGGTAAAGTGACTTCAGATCCTCAGCACACACATAAAAAAGATGGGTGAACTCCAGGTTCAGTGAGAGACCCTGTCTCAGAAAGTAGGTAGAGTCTCTAGTGGAAGACACCCAATGCCCACCTCCTTTTCTATACACACGAACCCACAAATGTAATATACACACACAAATGCATTGAATAAATTAAAACAAACAGAAACCAAATGGCCACAAATGCTGCTAAGGATGTAGAGAAAGATATACACATGTAAATGCATTAAATAAATGAAGACAAATGAAATCCAAACAGCCATAAATGCTGCTGAGGATGTAGGGAAAGATATACACACACACACAAATGCATTAAATAAATTAAAACAAACAGAAGGCAAATGGCCATAAATGCTGCTGAGGATGTGGGGAAAGGCTTCTCATATGCTGCTAGTGGGAATGTAGCCTCCTACAGCCATTACGGAAGTCATAACATTAGTTAGAAAATGGATGTAACTGAAAAACATTATTTTAAGCAAAATAAACCAAACTCAGAAACACAAATATTGTGTGTGTGTGTGTGTGTGTGTGTGTGTGTGTGTGTGTGTGTGTGTGTGCATGCATGCCCATTCATGTTGTTCATAAAAAATAGAAAGAGGGCCATGATAGGAGAAGAAATCTTAAAGAGATCGGAGTAAGGAAAAATAAGAGTAATGAGATATACGTGACAAGAAAGCAAAAAATGGGGGGGGGGGGACAGCTAAGGGGTGGTGCAATGGCTTGGTAGGTAAAGGCACTTGCTGCCAAGCTTGATGGCCTGAGTTTGGCCCCTAAGACCTACATGGTAGGAAAAATCCAACTCCCCAAAGCCCTCCTCTGACCCCCACACATGCCCCATGGCACACACCACCCTCCCACGTGCATGTGCGTGTACACACACCAGCAAGAGTAGAGAAAGAAGATAAGAGGAGAAGGGGAGGAGGGGGGTGAGTAAAAACAAGTGGGTATGAAAAGCCAAAATGAAATCCATTACTTTGTGTATAAGTAAAAAAAAAAAAAATGGCCAGTTTGGTCACACAAGCTCCAGGAGTGAACTTTGAACAGATGGAACCAGCTAGATAAGAAATTTTAGTAGCCTCATTGATATTGCCCCACTATAGTATTATTCCATAAAATTGATTTTTTCCCTTATAGCTTAGTGGATCAAATCATACACAATAGCTAACAGCTGGAACTTCATGGGGTCTTGTGGGACATATTTTATTTGACCCAAGCCAGAGGTTTGGCTTTTGTTTTTATTTTGAGACAGAGCCTTGTGTAGCCCAGGCTATGGGTATAGCTGAGCCTGGTCCTTGAACTCCAGAACCTTCTGTGTTTGCCTCTGCCTCGATCTCCCAAGAGCTTCGTCAGGTGTGGGGCTCCAAAGCAAAGTCCTTTCTTACCATGAGAAAATAACTTATCTTCAGCTTCTGATGCCCAACTTTGTGCATCTTTAGTAACTGTCCTAAGATTTCCCTCCCCGGCCTCTCCATTTAAGAGAGGGTCTTACTGTGTAGCCCAGGCTATCTACAATCTTCCTACCTCCACCTCTCAAGTGCTGGGATTGCAGGCATCACTGAACTCAGCTAAAATCATCTTTGGAATGTATCTCCAACTGGGTCATGACAAAGTCTTGATCACTGGGTCCGGAAGGACACTACACTCAGCAGTAGTACTGGCAAACTGGTTTTCTCTAGCCTCCATGGGTCTGATTTCAAACAGTCCAAAATCTCAGTTGTTGAGAGCTGGACCGATTGATCCAAGGCTTTCTCAGAGGCCCCGACGAAAGGACGAAAGGAACCTACTTTTGTGTCCTGCCCAAGAGCAGACTTGACCAGTTTGGGGCTGGGGATAAGACCTCGAAGGAGTTAAGGTTTCAGTTCCTGGGAACTTGGCTTTTTCCCATGAAAAGACTCGAGTTATCGGTCCCAAGGCCGCTATGGGCTCTGTCTGCAATGCTCTTGCGATATCCTGTGTTTCCTTTGTGCAACATTGCTTGACTTTGTCCCATTGTATGACAGTTTCTGCTGACTCTGTTCCGTTTCGCCCCTGGAAGCAGCTGTACTCCTTAAGAAGCTTGCTTGACATAAGATGTAGCTTGTGGAAGACCTCGTGGCCCCAGCTTTCCTATCTGTCTTCTTGACTTTCTCATCTCCTGGCTGAAATGGAAAAATCAGGAGCCATCTTGAGAGACACTTCCCCCTCCCCTCCTCCAAAGGTATTTGCTGACCAGCAGTTTTAGAAGGGACCAAAAATTGAACTTATAGGGCTGGGATAATAAATCTATGTATCCTGGACTTGGCAAAACAAGATAATGGGGAGTAATGGACTCAACTGACCAGAAGTTGACCTCAGAGAAGAGTAGGACTGGAACAATAAATCTGAATGTATATATCCTGGGTTCAACAAAAGCAGGACATAGGGAGTAAAAAGTTTATGTCTCTGTAGATACCCTGAATCCTATTAGCCATCAGTAACCTCATGCTTATAGTTCAGCCAGTAACTTCAAAGAACTGCCTCACCCCTAACCCCCTTGTCCAATCCCAAGCTGCATGTAAACCTTTCCTTAAACCTTAAAGTGAGTGCTCAGGGCCGTTCTCCTCCACCCACTGTGTCAGATGTTGGACTGAGGACCAAGCTTGCTTGTTCTGTTATTAAAAACCTCTGTGTGCTTACATCGGATATTGGCTCTGTGGTGGTCTTGCTTGGGGGTCTTGTGACCTGGGCACAACACTGGCCACCTCCTACTTCCAACCCTGCTGCTGGTCCAGGTCACTCAACAGACAAAGCCACAGGCAGCTAAATGGCATCTGTCTGATTTTTCCCTGGTGCTGTGATAGAACACACTCACAAAAGGAACTTAAGAGAGCCAGGCTCACAGTTCCGGGATATGGCTGTCATGATTCGGAGGTCATGGGACCAGGAGCTCAAGGGAGCCAGTCACATTGCATCCACACAGAGAGTGATAATTGTGCTTGGCTCATATTCTCTCCCCACCCCCTTACATATTTTTTTTTTTGGAGGTTTTATGTGTTCAGGTGTTTTGTCCACATCTATGTTTGTGCACCATATATATATATGTATATATGTATATGTGTGTGTGTGTGTATATATATATATATATACCCACAGAGGGTTCAAGAGGAAGTAGGTCAAATCCTCTCAACTGCAACAGCCACCTGGGTGCTGGGAACCCAACTGGAAGAGCAGCTCGTGCTCTTAACCACTGAGCTATCGCTTAGGGCTTCATTTTTCTCTTTTTTAATACAACTCCAGCCCAGGAAACAGTGCTGCCCACAGTGGGGAGTCTTCTCTCCTCAATTAACCTAGTCAAGATAATCCCCCTTCAGATGTTAACAGATGTTCCTCTCTCAAATGATTCTAGATTCTATCAAGTTGACTGTAGTGGGTAGCTGTTCCAGTTTTGACCTGGAAGTACTACCCCCTCTGAGGCTTCTAGTAACTGTCACTGTCATGCCTATGAGGAGGGGGCCGAGAGAGGACCCTGAAGACCCGACATCCGGATGCGCCGGCTCTCTTGGTTCCCGGATCCTGGACGCTGGAGGTAGACTGAGCAGAATTCTCCAGAGAACACCGCTGGACTGCGCTTCACCTTTCCCAGACCCTGTAACCTATCCCTTCACTTGTAAGTTACCCCACAAAATAAACCTCCCTTTTAACCACGTGGAGTTGCCTTAAGACTTCCACCAATAGTTGACAACTAAGATTAACCACCATGAATCCTGTTACAGGAGGGCCATTCAGTTTTTTTGTTTGCTTTTGTTTCGTGTTTTGTTTCCACTGAAGTGAGGAAACCACTTTTTCTGTAGCATCCTCAAATCACAAACAACTCCAAATGTGTATTTACTTCCTGTGTAGAGGCTAGAAAGCTTTCCTTTAGCTTGTCAGGCTGAGGGGAAAGATGGCACTGTCTCTCAGGCTTGGACCACTAAAGCTAAGCCTGAAAATGCTTGGGCTACCCTGTAACTGGCACAAGACTGATCAATACAGGTTTCCTGTCAGTCCTGCAGGGAATCAAAAGTGACATGTTAAAGCCGTAACATTTGGCATCTTATCTCCTGTAAGGGAGAGGAAAGAGGGCGGCAGGATCAAGGCCGTTACAGGAGAGGATGATGTGGGCACCAGGCAGGGTTGAGATCCGGTCCCAGCATCCAGGAAGCAATAGCTCTTGCTTTTCTGCCATCAATTATGGGTCACATTTTCCTGGGTAGCCTGGGCTACATAGAGTTCATAATAAAAAGCTGTCTCCAAAAGCTAAGCGCTGAGGATAATATAGCTCAGTGTGAGCACATGGCTAAGGAAAAAGCGATAAGGAAAGGGAGGAAGGGGAGGAGAGGGAGAGGGAAGAGATAAGATGGAGATGATGATGATGATGATGATGATGATGATGATGATAAAAAATTATCTGGGGCACAGGCTGACCTCAAGCTCACATCTATTCTCCTGCCTCAGTCTCGAACACTGGGCTTACAGGTTTCTGCCACTCTACCCAGCACATGAAGGCTCCTTTTTCACAGCCTCTGCCAACTTCAGTTTGTTTGACTTTGAGAGCAGCAGCTCCATGGTTCACAGGATGTATTTCAAAGCACATAGTCCAGTGTGCAACACTAAGTGTGCTCACAGTGCTGTGTAACCATCACTACCGTCCATCTCCATCCTGTACCCGTTAAACACTAACTCCCCATTCTTAGCAGGGTGACCTAACTTTCCTCCCCTGGCTCCCTTTAGCACTCCCACAAGGATATCTGTTGAGGATGCCCTATGAAAGATTTTGTGGTTAAATGCATGGAATTTCTAAAAATGAAAAAAAAAAAACATATCTCAAAAAAAAGAATTATTAAATGAGTAACAATAACAATAACCTAGACACATCAAAGAATCAGTGAAGCCAAAGGTAAGACCGTGGAAAACACCAGAACTGAAAAGAAGAACTTGATGTCGTCTGAGCCCTTTGGGGTGACTGATGTCCTCACCCTTCTTCTCATCCCCTGCATCACCAGCCTACTTTTTTTTTAAATTCGCATTGGTGTTTTGTCTGTGTGTCTGTCTGTGTGAGCATGTTGGATCCCCTGGAACTAGAGTTACAGACAGTTGTGAGCTGCCATGTGGGTGCTGGAAATTGAACCCAGGTCCCCTGGAAGAGCAGCCAGTGCTCTTAACCTCTGAGCCATCTCTCCAGCCCCAGTCTACTTTCTATGCTTAGATTCCAAAGGCCTGCTGGAGAGAGTCAGTGACCCAATCCTACATTCAAGATATAGGTGCTCTTTGACCTTCTTTAAAAAAAAAAAAAGATTCCTTTGTGTAGCTAGAGTTTTCCTGCCTGGCCCACAGTCAGGACAAATCTCTCTCACCTGCCAGTTCCACAGCTGCTCAGACCCAACCAAGTAAACACAGAGACTTATATTGGTTACAAACTGTATGTAAGGCCGTGGCAGGCTTCTTGCTAACTGTTCTTACAGCTTAAATTAATCCATTTCCATTAATCTATACCTTGCCACATGGCTCGTGGCTTACCGGCATCTTTACATGCTGTTTCTCATCATGGTGACTGGCAGTGTCTCTCTGACTCAGCCTTCCACTTCCCAGCTTTATTCTCCTCCTTGTCCCGCCTAAACTTCCTGCCTAGTCAATGGCCAATCAGTGTTTTATTTATTGACTAATTAGCAACACATTTGCCATACAGAACATCCCACAGCACCTTTGTATTATTTTCAGCTGTGCTAGCATGCAATCTATGGCATGGCACAGTAACTTCTGAAACATGCGAGGCAGGAGGAAAATGGGACACATAGTCAAGAGCAGAAAAAATAACCAGTAGAAACAGACCCACAGAAGACCTGGGTGTTGAAATAACAAACTAACAAACGACACATACACTCACACACATGCACGCATGCACACTCACACACACCCCACTCACACATACACCAGATACACACACACACACACACACACACACACACACACACACACAAGCTCACATACCACCACACTCACACATATTCACACACACACACACACACCCCAGGAGTTGAGATTTGAACCTAAGACACTGTGCTTGTTACACAACTGCTCTACCACTAAGCTACATTACCAGCAACTGAAGAGGACATTTAAGTAATTAATGGTAATAGAGTCTGGGAGATGTCACTCAGAAGGTGACAGTCCTAGGCGGGCAAGCCTGACAACCCTGACCACCTCAGTTCAATTCTCCAGAACCCACATAAAAAGCCAGGTATGCTGAAACCCCAGCTTTCCTACAGTGAGTGGGAAGGCGGAGACAAGGAAAACTGCCTGAGACAGAAGCTCAGAGGTCAGAGGTCAGGTAGCCCGGAGTACCCAGCATAGCAGCAGAGACAAAGGACAGTCTGCCTCACCAAGGTGGAAGGTGAGAACTGACTTCCCAAAGCTGCCCTCTGACTTCCATAGGCACAAGGTGGCTCCCGGCACACATACACAACAAATAAATTATGAAGCTGTAACAAATCTATTAAAAATTTTCAAATAGAAAGATAACCAAAGTGGGTGAACAGATGGTAAATTTTGGCTGAGAAGTGTAACTCTACGAAAATAACTAAATGGCATTTCTACAAATAAAAAATAGATGTCTCAAATAAAGATGGTATTGAATAACAAACAACCTGGGCACAATAGGATTAGCTAAGCTGAAGGCAAGACATTAGAAAATACCAAACAAAAAATAATTCGCCATGGCAAATCTTCCCTCCCCTCCCTTCGCTCATATTTCCTCTCCTCTCCCCCACATGTCCAGTCTCACCTTATGCCACAGAGCCCGGAGGCAGCTTCTCCGAAGGGCTGTATGCTGCCACGCCAGGTACTCGTCCACACGAGCACGGGCCTGCAGGTCTTGGGGGTACCAGTGGTCAGGGACCTTGAACTTGTGTGTTAGGTAGAGCAGGATGGCCACACTGTGTAAGCAGAGGAGCAAGGCGGCTAGTCAGACACCACAGGGGTGACTCAACGCCCAGAACCTTTTGTAACTTTTTCTTTTCCTTTTATTTTTAAGATTTATTTTTTTATGGATTTTATGTCAATGAGTACTCTGACTGCATGTACGCCTGCATGCCAGAGAGGGCGTCTGATCTCATTATAGATGGTTGTGAGTAGCCATATGGTTTGTTGGGAATTGAACTCAGGACCCAGTGCTCTTAACTGCTGAGTCATCTCTCTAGCCCCTACCTTTTCTGATCTTTCGGACAATTTGCCAGTCTCAGCCTCTTTTTCAGAACATGGAAAGTAGGCTCCGAATAGGGAAGAGCCTTGTTCCCAGGGGAACAGAGCTCTTAGTGCCAGAATTGAATCTTGTCTTCCAACACCCAAGACTATTCTACCACCAGGCAGAATCTCACCAATGAGGGTCCTGCCAAGGGTTCAGTTTCTGAGTATAGGGCCAGAGAGCTTCCTGGAGAAGGGACATCCAAGCAGAGCTTTGAGGAAGCTTTTTTTCAGGCTACATCCACTCTCATCCTTCAGCATTCAGACAGCCTCAGATGACCTGATGGTTCAAAAAGACTTTCTCAACTCTCCCTTTGTTCTTTGAGACAGCCTAGGCTAGCCTCAAATCCATAATCCTCTTGCTTCAGCCTTTGGAGTGCTAGGGTGGTGGGCATGAGCCATATACCTGGCCTCTGTTCCTTACGCCACTCCTTGTGCTAAGGGTCAGCTTGGTTCTTTAAAATCTTACTCAAACACTCGGGGCACTGTAAGATCCTGGAACCACAGAACAGACAAGGCTCCCTGGAACTCTTTTTCCTGCCTTGAGTTATGCCAACTACTGTAGAGATGGACTCTAAAGGACACTTGAAGATTTCAGTCAGGAAACTCTGGTATTGGGTAATAGTTACTGGGAAGAGTGGGATGTACACACATTGTGTAACAGTTTCCCCCAAGTTCAAGACACTCCATCCTGTAGGGATGACCCTTAAAGGAAGTCCCTGAAACTGAGCAGATTCACTAGGGCCTTTCTCCCTGAAGTAAACAATAAAGACTACTGAGAGTCTCTGTCAGACAAGCCAAGCAGCAAAGAAGACTCTGAGACCAGCTGCCTAGAAGAAGCAGAAACCAGCTGAGCGGCCTGGAGGAAGTTTAGACCAACGGAGTCACTTAGAAAGGACACTCTCTAACCTGTTGAGCTGCCGGCAGGCTGTGCAGTGTGCTGCAGGTTCCCAGCTATGCTGGGGTGGCCTTAGGTGGTGCAGCTGTCTTTGAGCCATTTCTGCTCCTGTAAGTCACCCCTCACCCACACTCCTGTATGAAACCCCAATACAACTCACGAATTTCCCAAGTCGGACTTTGGTGATGAAGGGACTCTGGCTGGTCTGGACCTGACACAATGGCACTGGCAGGCCTTGCTCTTTCTCCTTCCCCCCTCTCCCCTTCCCCCTTCCCTTTCCCTTGTAAACCATAGAGTACATCCCTAAACCTAGCCACCAAGGGCTGTTCTCTTATTTGGATACTGTCTTATGCCCGACTCATTCCTGAGGATGAGTACCCAAGTCCAGCAGTCAAAAGCCCCCTTTGATTCACCTAATTAATGTGCCCAAAATATCCCGCCGCATGCTAGCCCATTCTAACACAGAGCTCCCCTCCCCATTTTTTCTTCTCTTAAAAAAAAATCACACCTGCAAGGTCATTTGCTGCTGTTTTTCTGCCTGAGTCAGAAAGCAGACACTTTAACTTTCTTCCCCGTTTAGTAAAGGATCTCTCTGCGAAAACAAGTGTTGGGGTGTGGTTTGTGCCTCATCCAGGGTCTGGGAGGAAACCCCTGCTGTGCGTGCAGAGGGAGGGAGGGAGGCGGTGGTTCTCCTTCAGGTGGTATCCATACTTTGGTCTGTCATGGGCTCCCTGTCTGGAGTGAATAGATGTGTGTACAGTGTCTCCACAGGAAACGTTATGTCACACGACATAAATCCACAGCACACAAGAGGAAGAGGCAGGCAAACAGGTAGGCAGAAGTACAATGTTGAGACCTGACTAAGCTATCTAGTAAGGCCTTGTCTAAGACACAGACCTGCGTCCACAGCCCAGCTTAATGCCTCAGTTTCCCAAGTAGGACAAGCTCGTTGTGCTGTAGCTAAGTGTTCAAGTCACCTCTGAGGAGGGCTGCAGGAGGTCACACACCTCCCCAGGGTGACGATGGCATGCAGGGGGACATGCAGAGGCTGCAAGCTGCACCTGGTTGGCACCTGATAGGGTGCAATTCTCTGCAAACTAAAGGGTCCAGGACAGCAGGAGCAACAGGAAGGGAGAATGGCGGTGTCTTGGTTGGACTACATCAATCATGACAGATCAGAAATGAGCTCAAAGCACACCCTTTAGAGTCCCTCTGCTGCGGGGTAGGCGACTTGTGTGACAAAAAAAAAATGCAGAACTAAGAAAAAGGTTTAGCTTCTCTGAAGAGGGGAGTGTCACCATCTTGGGACCTGCTAGGATATAAAAACATCCTTACTTCATAGGGAAGACTCACGCAAGGGAACCCCAGGGACCCTCGTACTTGAGGCACTGGGAAGCCCAGATGCCACAGGATCCTCTCTACAGCTGCTGGGCTATAGTATGGTGGCCATGGTGAGGTAAGCTTCCCACCTTCCCTGCCCCAGGGGTATTTTAATCAACAACCACAACCTGGTAGAGAAGTCAAGTAGATGCATTATCTTCCCCCAAAATCAGCTCAGTGAACTGGGCAGTGGGTAGGCAGGGTCCCGGGTTCCAGCCCCAACTCTGTAGGATATGGAGCACAGCAGTCCTTTGCCTCTAGGGCAGAGGTTCTCAACAAGCAGGTTGCAACCCCATTTGGGGTAGAACAACCCTTTCATAAGGGTTGCCTAAAACCATCAGAAATATCAGATATTTACGTTATGATTCATAACAGTAGCAAAATTGCAGTTATGAAGTAGCAATGAAAATAATTTTATGGTTGAGGGTCACCACAGCATGAGGAACAGTATTAAAGGGTCTCAGCATTAGGAAGGTTGAGAACCAGTGCTCTAGGGAGTTGAGGTTCCTAGTGTGTGTCTACATGAGTTTACATGCCCACAGATACTAGAGGGCAATGGATCCCTAGAACTAGAGTTATAAGTGGTTGTGAGCTGCCTCTTGTGAGTGCGGGGACCAAATCCAGGTTCTCTGCAAGAGCGGTAAATACTCTTAAGCACTGAACTATCCCTCCAGCTCCAGCTTCATAGTTTATAACATGAAGGGTTACAACAGGCTGATCCCAGCAAAGCTTGGCAAAAGCCCCCAGGGCCCCATTACCTCTCGCTCAAGGTGAAGTCATCATCCTTCATGGCTGGTACCTTCTTCATGGGGTTCACCTGGGCAAACGCATCACTGAGGTGCTCACCTGCAGATAGTCCAGCACGAGGGGGAGGTGAGTAGAACGCTGGGCCGAGGTCCTAGGATGCCAAACACTAAATTCATGGGTTCTTCTTGGAACTAGGCTGCCTACCCTCGATGGGAAGTGCAGGCAGGGCGGGCTGCCAGGAGAGGAGAGAAAACTGCCCCTTGACCTTGATAAACAGACTTCACACTCTATTGACAGGTCCTCTGGGACTTGCCCCACTGGCAGCCCTGAAAAGTGGCCCCGATGTCCCTTGGAACCCTGGTCTCTGCTTGAATTAACCTAGATTGGTTTTCCTCCTGTTGATGCAGGCCAGACAAATGTTTCTACCATCGTCTCCTTGCTGCTTTGCCCAACAGATTTCAGTGGTTCCCGCTGCCTTGGATCAGACGGAGGGCTGTCGCCTCCCCTTCTTCTCCTGGTGGAAATCTGTCTCCCCCTGCACCCTTATTTTTGACAGCCAACTCGAACATCCCTTTGTCGGTCCCCCCACCCCACAACACCCTACATCAGACTCTGCAGGAGCAGCGCTTGTGGGGGTTAAGTGCACTGTCCGCAGAGGCGCCGGTGAAGAGGTGAAGTTTCAGACGGAGAAACAAGCGGTGAGACAGTACGGAGGTGACCAAAGGCGCCTTAAGCAACACCTTCTGCTACAACCCTGTCTTGCCAGGGTGAGGGCCTCCCTCAGCAGCCAGCAGGAAGGAGGCGAGGCTCCGGTATACCCCACACAGCAGCCTCTCCCCCCTGCGCAAGCAAGAGAGGCAGAGAGTGAAAGAAGATAAAAGAAGACAGGAAAAGGAAGGACAAAAGGGATTCCAGCAGACTGACCAGAGTGGTGGGGAGAGGCTGGTGGAAAGGCAGGTCCCTGCAAGGGAGGTTCTTCGTGACACTGCCTAGCTCAGCACTGGAGAAACCGAGAGGGTAACTCTCCAGATCTCCACATTCACTCTCCTAGCCCTCTCTCCAGCCCCGCTCCTCGGGAGGTCCCTGTCGATAGGCCCAAACTACACCCGTTTCTGTTGCCAGGTGCCCGCCTGCTGTTCGGTTTCAGCAGGTCCTGGCCGTCTATTCCACGGGACAGCAGAGTTTGCGGGAGTCCTGAACCGTGGGTCTCCCTGGTGGCTCTTTTCTCGCTTGGTCACTAAACCAGAAAAAGCCCAGGAAGGGGACGGACGGTACAGGAAGGAATCCCCTAAGCTGGGCTTGCCTCCCCATCTCTCAGCTCTCCAAAGCCGAGGCCCTGCCCACCCTTGCGCAGCTCCACCGTACGCATCTGGAACGGGATGCCGTTTTTCTTGGCGAAGATATAAATGGCGCGACAGGGCTGGGACAGCAGGTCCAGGTAGAGCTCCAAGACCATGGCACCGGCGGGCGGCGGGAACCAATTCCGTAACGGGCCAGACTCTGAAAAAAACAAACAAACAAACTCAGGCTCGACGTCTGAGGTCCGGTCAAGACCTAGTGTTGCCACGCCTCCAATGGGCGGATCCTGGAGCCTGGCCCTTCTGTCTAAAAGAGGAGCAGAGTTCCAAGAGACAGGCACCGGGAGTCTAGCACAGGGTGAGACAGAAACGACTGCTGGCCTCCCCTGAGTGGGCAGTGGGGTGCAAAGGGGCCGGCTCCTAGTCCTTCTGTGACTGGTTTATTTGATGGCAAAATGTCTTCAAAGGCCTCCTCGCCGAGTCTAGTGTGTTAGAATTTCCAATCATCCCCGTTTCCCAAAGGAGAAACCTAAGGTATTACTTGGTAGACACAAAAAGTCTACCCCCAGCAGGTTCCTCCTAGGCCTGCAAACCAAAGATATGGATGCCAGCAAGCAGTAAAGGTTCCGGCTGTGCTCAGCATGCTGCGGTCCCCGGTGGCATTCCAGTCGTAGACTCCCCACATTTAATCCCTTCCCCAAAGGCCCCAACTCTTATTCCCAGCAAATGAATTTAGGGGTATCAATATTCAAACCATCACACTGGGTTTGTGTCTTCCTTTCTTTCAGCCTCAGTTTCTCCATCTTTAAAATGGTAGGTTAGATCCCTTGAAAGCCCAGCACTCGGGACTCACCTGCTGAGCCACAAGCCCTTGGACTGGACTTTGTCATTTAAGGACCTCCCTCTCCCCACATCCTACCTCCCATCTGGGCAAATGGTACCAGTGTTACCTGTTATCTTAAGTCCCAGTAAAATTGTCAGCAGGAACATAACATTTTCTACATCAAAAGAAACATCTCTCCTGGGCTGAAAGAATGACTCAGCTGGTAAGAATGTTTGTTACTGTTGAGAGGACCAGAATTCAGTCCCCAGCACTCACACTGGATGGCTCACAACTCCCTAAAATTTCAGCTTCAGGAATCCGATATCCTCTGGCCTCTTGCAGGTACCAGCATGCATATGGGCAAACACACATAGACACACATAAACACGTAAATAAAAATAAATATTTTTGAAGAAGCTAAAAAAGAATATTTATGCAAAGAGAGTGGAAATTAGTAATAATTTTTTGGGGGTATGCTTTTCAACTCCTTAGCTAATACTCCAGGCTCTTCCTGGTTCCTTTTTTTTTTTTTTTTTCTTCCTTTGTTTTCCTGAGACAGGGTTTCTCTGTGTAGTTTTGGAGCTGTCCTGGAGCTCTGCCTCCAAATGCTAGAATTAAAGGCATGCACTGCCACCACTGCCTGGCCCTGGCTCCTTTTCTAAAGCTGCCCTCCTGACCCTGTGGCTCCCTGCTGCCAAGTGACTGACTCCATGCCACCTGGTCTCAAGTGCCATGACATTTGTTCTTCTCCATTCTCCTCCCTTCCAGGCAGCTGTGAGACTTAGAGCTAGTCCACCCCAGGGCTTTCTTTTTAAATTCTAATCAGTGGTCCTGAGAGCTAAAGTGATGGATCAGAGGTTAAGAGCACTGGTTGCCACCAGGCAGTGGTGGCTCATGCCTTTAATCCCAGCACTCGGGAGACAGAGCCAGGCGGATATCTGTGAGTTCGAGGCCAGCCTGGTCTATAGAGCGAGATCCAGGACAGGCACCAAAACTACACAGAAACCCTGTCTCGAAAAAACAAAAAACAAACAAAAAGAGCACTGGCTGCCTTTCCAGAGGATCTGAGTTCAATTCTCAGCACGTCACAGCTCACAACTGCCTGTATCTACAGTTGCAGGGGACTCCAGGCCCTCTTCTGACTCCTCTGGGTACCAGGCACACATGCAGTACACAGATATACATGCAGGCAAAACACCAACAAACACAAAGTAAAATAAATTTAAAAATGGTCCTTAAAATTCTGAGTCTGTTCTTTGTCCTCAAGAGTATTAAGAGACTGCAGATATCATGTCTCTGCAGGGACTCCCCACGACTCTTAGTAACACTTCTCTCCTGGCTTTTAGTTATTTAATTGGCAGAGAAAAGGAACCCGTTCCTGGACCACTAGACACTATCACTTTATGGGCTCATCTGAGAAGTCTCAAGGCCAATCCTTTCCTAGCCAGACCCAAGAGGGACCTGAGAGAACAACGGTCAATTTGCCAGTGTCTTTCTGGAGATATACTTGAAAGGGGGTGCCCCCAAGCATGGCTAGCATGCATGGAACCCCAGGCTGGTATTCTTTTTTCCCCTCTTCTCTGTGTGAGCTCCTGTCCTTGGGAAGATGACTGGAAGAATTCACTGTCCCTGTAAGAGCTGGACAGCTTTTGTCGGGGATATCTGGGCTCAAACAATAACCCTTGTGGCTAATTTCCTTTTTACACATTTATATGCTCCTCAACTCCCTTGCTCCTTCTGCCCACTGACTTGAAATTGGCTTAAGTGCTGGGAGACATGACCTTGAGGACCTCATGGCCTTGTCTGGGCCACTTGGGCTATTATGTCCCCAATCTTCCAGCAAGGCCGTTGAGCTTATGAATGGAAAGGAATCAGGGACATTTCTGGGAGGAAGCCATCTCCTCCACTTGCTGTGTGAGGTCTATCGGGGCCCAGCTCCCTCTAGTCTGGCACATAGTTACGCATTGGTCTTTCTAAAGCCAGATAGTCTATGAGTCATGTCCTATTCAAGCCAGGGAGCCCAAGAAAAAGTCCCTCTCTTGTGAGGTTGGGCCTCTTCACCCTTACACAATCACTGTGCAAAAGGCCAGGGAGAAATTACCTTCTGTTTGTAACACAGGCGTCTTGAATACAAGCAAAAGCATTAGGGGTGGGAACTAGGGGCCATAGTAAGTATGGTTCAATCCCACCATCTGGGAATAATCCCTGAGGGGCACTACTGGGCACCATGTCCGGCACTGCTCCAGGACTGGATAGGAAAGGAATAAAGAACAGCTCATGTCCAGAAAAAAAACAAACAAACTGATATTGGGTGGTTTGAGCTCTTGGTTGGAGAAGCCACCACAGCCTAGGAGCTCAGGGTGTTTATTGTGTACAGCTGAACAAGGAGACAGGTTCGGCTAATCTTGGTGGATCAGGCTCTATAGGGGAGCAGTCTTCAGGCCGTAAACATCTGGGTGGAAAAAGCTATGGTGGACATCTTCTGAACACATTGTCATCATTCAGAGGAGGTTTTGTCATCCCTCTGAGACTTCTCAGGGGGGGTGGGGGAGGGAAGGGAGGTTCCCCATAGGTCTGAGACTTTGGTCCTTTGATATGGCTGGCTCATGTCAACAACATACACCCACTCAGGATTTCACAGACTCATGACTTCCTCTGCTCACCACACTGGACTATGCAAGCTCCACCATTCCTAGACTGGAGACATCGCTCTGGGTAGAGGGATGAGGGTGAAGAGGAGAATGGGGTAGCTTCCACTAAAACTCTCCCATGTTCCTTTCATTTACAGATAGAAGGAGTTGATCCAAGATTTCTGTTGGCATTCTGCTATCCTGCCTCCTGAAAAAAGTGGAATAAATTGGACCAACAAGGTTTCTGAGACCCTCCCAAACTCATATAATCATTAAAAATTGGCTGCTTTCCAGAATTTTATGGATGGCGGGTCCCACATAGGCAGGGTAAGATTAACTAGGCAAAATGTAGATAAGATTCACAAAGATCACAAGATATTTCAGTTTTCTCCTTTCTTTATCATCACTAAATGAGAGAAGACAAGGTTGAGGAAACACTGGTCTCCCTCAAGAAAAGAAGCCACTGGTCCCCAACAGGCCAATCCTTCCCGTGTTGTTACTTACAAGGAGAGGATAAAGACAAGTGCCCTAACCTGTATTAAGACCCAGACCTTAAGAAAGAAATACTTGATGTTTTGTGCACTCCAGCCTGGCCTACAGTTAGAAAAGTGGCCTCTAATGGGAAAATACCAACCAAAGGGTCATATTATCCCACATCTTGATCTCTTTGTAAGAGAGAGGGTAGTTACTAATTTTTCAGATTGTCTGACTCTACTGACAGACACGGCTAACTGATGGGGGTACAGGACTTAAGATCTGCTGCTTAAAGACTCTCAATTTGAACACCCTAAAGGGGGAAAACGCTTTCTGTCCCTTGGCGGCCCCAAAGCATGATTCAACAGCTAAGACTCAGCTGGATGACTCTAGGCAGGTTCTAAGGAGGACAGACACTTTGGGTCCAGCTTGAGCATCACTGAACTCAACAGCAGCATGGGATTTCATCTCTCTCCTCTGATCCTTCTGAAAGTAAGCTCTGGCTGTCTTCAGTTTGACAAAGGGCCGAGTTATACTGGTAAATTGCCAGGTGCTATTGGACCTCATTGAGAAGCTGACTCTGAAGTTGGGATTTGTCCCTCCCACTTCTGAGCCAAGCATGTCCATCTCAAAGTGTCCTCCAAAGCCTCTGTCCTGGGTCAGGATGGCCTCTGACACTGCAACAAGGAACTGGAACAGAATAGTTCAAGGATAAACAGCGTGTCCTTGAGAACAGCTAAGGAGTAAATTGTTGGGGCTGGAGAGATGGCTCAGAGGTTAAGAGCATTGACTGCTCTTCCAGAGGTCCTGAGTTCAATTCCCAGCACCCACATGGTGGCTCACAACCATCTGTAATGAGATCTGGTGCCCTCTTCTGGCCTACAGAGATACGTGCAGACAGAATACTGTATACATAATAAATAAATAAATCTTTTTAAAAAAATCAAAAAGAAAGAAAGAGAGAAAGAAAGAAAAAGAAAAGCACAGAGCTGCTCTTGCAGAGGACCTGGGTTTGGTGGCTAGCAC